TAAATGTTTGTGTCGTGAAATTTATAAATTCTGTATAAGAAACATTGAAAATTTCTTCGAGGTGACAAGTGAAATCATACTGGTATTGTATTTTTTCGAGTCAGTGCTTTCGCTTATAAAATGATTGAAAATAAAAAATCACTTTAACCGCAAAATAATAAAACATTTATATCACCTTGAATTTGAATGCTTGTTTTATACTAACAACTATGGTAGCTGGATTGGTAAAACTTGATCATTACTAGATGAAAAATGATTCTACTTTAGCACAGTGCACCAAATCAGTTTATACGAGTTTACTAGTATATACAACAGTGAACGAACGTTTGATTATGTTTTCATCATATATGTAGATTATGCTAATAGTTCGATAAATATACCGTATGATCGAAAAAATGGCGTCAAAGTCGAGTTTAAATGACAATCAATGATAATTTTCGCGAGGTCAACATTGCCATATTACGGAGTAGTTTCAATAAAAAAAAATGGCGCCGGGAGGCACGTATAGCCGCCCATACTAAATTATGTTAATAAAAAGTTGGTAGGCAGTTCTTTTAGTTTCAATTATCTCAAAAACTGCGACTTTAGCTGATTTTGATGTTATTACAAATTTTGTTTCAAATATTATTCCTAATCTTAAATTGAAAACCGCATTTCGCTAGCTACTGTAACTTTGGAGTTACGATTTTTTAAATTTTTAACCCCCTCCCATATCCATACCATTTGATTAAAATTGGTTTTTGAGTTATCGTGTTACAGACAGACGGACAGACAGACAGACACCATGAAAATATTTTGTATTTAGTTCATTTATGACCCAAATAACTCATTTTAAGTGATATTAAAAAAAGTTTTTTTTGCCGATCTTAATAGCCTATACCTACCTGTTGGGGCTGTTGGTATGGTCGGCTAAAAATTCTTTTAAATATTTTGTTTCTTTAGTAAGGTTAGGTTAGGTTGGACCTTTTCCATGAGAACCAAACTGTGTAAAATTATTCTTACGAGGTTTACGAAAATTACGGTTATACCGCAAAATAACTTTATTTAGAACTAAATTTAATAAAATCATTCACCATATTATTCATACTGAGATGACATAAAAGAAAATACCAACATGTTTATCGGAATTCACTATTCGGAACATTGACAAAATCAGACAAATATAAACCGTAGATGAACAATACACAACAACTCATTCCAGAGATTTCAGATTTCACTAATTATAGCATATACTTCTTTTGACTACCAAATAATGTTGCCATTATTTTTTTTAAATTTCAAAGTTAAATAACTCGGTTATTTTCAATTTATTTTAAAAATGCTAAAAAGAAAAGATGTTTCTTTTGACCAGATCTAACCATCCCTTAAAATATCTGCACTTATTTCTGGGACACCCTGTATGTATACGCCTACGTCCGGCATTGGTTCATTCAAAATCTCGTCACTTTATGCAACTTTTACGACGAAAATAAATATTTTACTAAATTATATAAGAGAAAGCAACATTGAAAGATCAAGTTTACATTTAGGTAACATTTTTGAAACCTACTTTCATTTATTATTTACTTTTTCGTAGTACATCGACTTTGACATTAAATTACATTTTTTTTCAAACGTCACAAAAGTATTAGTTTTTACGACGTGATTGACAATATAAAAAAGTGATTTTAACGCCTAGGCATAAAAGTAAAGCACTTTTACGCCTAAGCATAAAAGATATTATTAATATACAGGGTAGTCCGAACTGTATTCCGGAAACTTCGGCAACATATTCTGCAGATAAAAATAAGTAAAAAAGTTCGTGTAAATGTATGTCCTAAAATGCTTAGCTTCGGAGATACAGGGTGTAGAAGTTTCATTGTTATTTCCATTTTTTCGAAATAATTTCTAAAGTAACATCAATATTTGGACAAAATTGGTGCCTGTGATTTTTTTCACATGAGACATTTGATTTTGATGTCAATATGACTCCTATACTAGTACTGTTACTGTTTTAAAGCATAATAACTTTTTATCCCTACCTGTATAAAACTACCGAGCGAAAAAATATACATCTCTGTGATTTTTTACGTAAAAAATATCTCTTTGTAAAAATCGCTACGAGGAACCGTTCATCATACACGTTGAGTAGATAGTTATTTCTCTGAAATAATAAATTTAAGAAATTTTTATTTTTTTAAATTAATCATAATTTTTTCTGCAAAAAAATTATGATAAAATAGTTTCTGTTGAACATTTGACACAAAAACATTTCAAATTTATGATTTGAGTCTAATAACTATTCAGTCAACATGTTTAATTTATGTCAATGATGACAGGTATTGATAATTTCTATTCCGAATATCTCGAAAACCATTACTCGTAGCGGTTTTTACTTTTTACCAAGAGACCTTTTTCAAAAAGACCTTTTTATTAAATGTATATTTTTAAGTTATTACGCTTCAAAACAGTTAAAACACACGTAGGTGGCGCCCTCTACTAGTAGGAGTCATATTGACATCAAAATCAAATTTCTCATGTCAAAAAAATCCCAGACACCAATTTTCATCCAAATATTGACGTTACTTCAGAAATTATTTCGTAAAAATCGAAATAAAAACTTCTACACCCTGTATCTCCGAAACTAAGCATTTTAGGACATACTACATTTATACGTGTAACTTTTTTGCTTATTTTTATCTGCAGAATATGCTGCCGAAGTTTCCGGAATAAAATTCGGACCACCCTGTATATTATTAAACTGTCATAAAGTGTCAAATTCAACGTACAATGTCAAACGTACAGCCTCACCACAGAAAGTATCATTTTTACTCCTAATAAAACAATATACTATTTTTGGACTTGTACAGGGTGGACCATTTTGGTTGTTTCTATATAGGATATCTAGGAAACCGTAAGAAGTATTCAAATTTTCATAGTGCGGTCTCGCGTTCAGTTTTTGAAAAAAGCACAATGGCGCAAACGGATCTTGGGTATCTTGATCGCTTTCGAAGCTACAAGGGGATTCTCAAATTTTGGACTTTTTGAAAATGTTCGATACCTGGTATGTTTATTTCAGCAACAACGCAAAAATGAATTAAACATTTTAAAGAAGGCACTTTTCTGTGTAGATTGCAGTGGCGTGTGGTCAGACTTTTTTCGAAAAAAATGTCCGAGACTGCACTATAAAAATTTGAATATTTCTCACGGTTTCCTAGATACCGTATAGAAACAACCAAAATGGGCCACCCTGTACTTATGATTTTTTTGCATTTGTAACCTCGTTAGGTTTCTCCATAATTTGAGGAATCAGATTTTCAGTAGTTAAGTTAGTTTACCCGACTATTAACGTAAATTAAGGTTGCCAACCGTCGCCTATTCCAGAGGATAGTCCTCTTTTTGATGGCACTGTCCTCTTTTTTCTCACGTATTGAAAAAGTCTTCGGTTTGACACACCAAACTCAAATTATAAAAAATATCTATCGCCAAAATGCTTAATAAAATTCTTAATTTAGCAACAATGTGTCTTTCGCTACGCTCACTCGTTAATACAGAAATTAAGTATTTGTGGAAGTGATGTATGTTTAGATTTTTTATGTTTACTGGCTGTTAACTTCCCAACTGGAAAAGGAGTAAGACGAGACGCGATATCCCCAAAGCTGTTTACAGGAATATTAAAAGAAATTCCGTCAACTGGACTGGACCAACAAAGGATTAAAATTAGATGGAGAACATCTTAACCATCTAAGATTCGCTGATGATATAGTCCTAATTACCAATAGTCCTGAAGAACTACAAGCACAAATTAATGAACTAAATACAGCCAGCAATAAAGCGGGTCTCAAAATGAATTTAGCAAAAACTAAAGTAACGTACACCGAACTAGTGGAAAGAAAAGGCATTCTAGTAAATAACACAACATTGGAAATAGTAAAAGAAGATAATATTTAAGACAGCTAATACACAGCTCGGGATCTCTACTACCAGAAATCAACAGAAGAATTAAGTTAGCATGGAGTACTTATGGAAGAAACATGCCACTCTGTCTGAATTGATTAGTGCCACTCTGTCTAAAGAAGAAAACATTCGACCAATGTGTACTACCGAGGGCCTATTCTGTACAATAGGCCCTCGCGGCCGCAGTGGAGGGTCCCATGGGACCCACTCTTAGTCAAATATAGTACAAATACAATGTGTACTACCCGTCATGACCTGTGCGTGCGAAACCTGGACATTTAAAACGGACATCATAAGGAAACTGCAGGTCGCACAACGCTCAATGGAACGAAATATGCTGACCATAACCAAGAGAAACCGTAAAAGAATAGAGTGGATACGACAAAAGACCCAGGTAATAGATGTCATCCACAGAGTCAAATCCCTAAATGGCAATGGGCAGGACACCTGGCAAGAAGAACGGACAACAGATGGACCACAAAAATTACAGCATGGTACCCACGAGGAATTAAGAAACCTAGAGGAAGACCGAACCTGAGATGGGACCATGATATTAGGAAATTAGCAGGGACAACTTGGGCCCGCATAGCCAACAATAATAAACAATGGGCCCAACTACAAAGAGAGTATGTGCGGGAAGCTACACAATAATTGGAAATGGTTGAATAAGCTGAAAAAGATGATGATGATGATGATGATGATGATGATGATGATGATGATGATGATGATGATGATGATGATGATGATGATGATGATGATGACTGTTAGCTTATGTTTTGAAGTAAAAAGATTTGTAGAAAATCGTTTGTATAATTTAAACAAGTTTGAGTATAAATATTTTTAAGAAAGTAAGAAAGACCACCAACCGCATAACATTTACATAACTTTTGGGGTAAATTTTTAACAACACTCCAGTGAGGTATCATAAAATGGTTCGTCTGCGGTGCTTTTTTACCCTCTCGTCCTCTATTTTTTATTTTGAAAGTTGGCAACCCTAACGTAAATATCTATTTTAAATTATATTTTTTATCTATTATTTAAAAACGAAATGTTCTGTTTCTTACCAGCTATAAATCCAAGTTCATATCATATCCTGTAAGTTTCCTTAACACTCACTGCACATAGAAATTTAAATCGGTAACAAAGAAAAATAAAAAAAATTAAGAGATTGCTTCATTCACTTTTAAATTAGCGTAATAAGCGCGGACTAGTAACCGTGTCCAGTAGATATTCATAAGCGCATCGACGTCCTTAGCGAAAGTCAAAGAACGTACTACTACACACACAGCCGCGGTACTTCTTGTTCTTGCCCCTTCAACTGGCCGAAGACATCGGAGGTGATGGTATCGCTGTTTAAATTGCTTCAAAAGGCTATTAAATTTTACCAAATATTAAAAAAAACAGGTATTACGTTGCAGTATTTGAGTCAAATGCATCGTTTGTCTTGTTTATTATATGAAGAAAGTGTCGATAATTGTTTTGTGCTATTGTGTATTTCATAATTGGTTTAATATGCAGTTACGTCTCACACTTTGTATTCAAATGTGATGTCGTTCTCACACTTTTGTTTTTAAAGAGTAACGATATTGATGGATATCGTATTTTTAATGTAAAATTATCTGTCCCTTTGAATGTGGTAAACCAGTGTTTCCCAAACTTATATAGAATGTTTTTTGTTAAAAAAAAGTGTTTCACGACCCCCTATTTCAGTAATTTACAAGGTCGTGATATTATTATACAGTAAAAAATGTCTATACCTATGTGGCGGATTCATCTCTCCAAAAAAATCCTTTATGGGTATTTCGCCACTGCACTGCAAGAAAATCTACACAATAAAATAATTATTTTTTGTAAACACTTCTGCGTTAAACCTAAAGGGACACTGCTTGTCAGAAGTTATACAGTTATACAAATTTGCCTAACAAAGAAAAAAATGCTGAACGTTTCGGAAAGTTTATCTTTTTCCGTCGTCGGAAGCAAAAAAAATACAAAGAATAAAGAAAAAAAACTATTTAAAATATTTAAATTCAACTCTTCGAGAACACTTTACTTTTTTAAAACAGATACGTTTACAAGAAACCGTTGACGTTCTGTTAAAATGACATTATATCAAGTTAAACTTCAAAATTAACAATTACTACCTGATAACCATTACTTAATAAGGTTAATAAAAAATCTTGCTTGTTCTAAAATGGTTAATCCCGTTTATACTTTTCCAAATTTCCATACCGTTTTAGAGAAAATCCAAAATAAAACATGAAAATATAGTTTTGGATTTTTTCCTAAAAATCATCATGGTTTTTAGCAAAAAAAATAAAGTATTTCATTCTTTGATAGATTGGTATTATTAATGTTGATTAACGTCATACTTTGTCTCTTGCATAGATAAATGAAACAAGTTTAGATTGGAAAGTGCCCATAAGGACAATGTAAACACTATTTGGCGCTATTCTTGCAACGGTCGCGACCCAAAGCTTTTGAAAATTTCGGAGCGGTTCGGCTTTTTCCGGAATGATATCGCCAAATATTATTTATTCAAATTTATTATTATTTTCTTTTAATTTTATAAATAAAATACAGTGTGTTGCATACAAGAAACTTTATTTTATATAAGGACGTGTATGAAGTATCTATATTATTATGAAACATTGGAAACCGACATTATACCACGATCCACGATGTTTTTTGCAGTTCACAGTTCAGCTTTTTAAGTTACAGCACAGCTTTTTAAGTTTTTAATGCCATTTTTTCACAATTATCACGGGTTTGAGTAAATAAAACTTAAATTAAACTCACAAGATAGCAATAATTACTTTGAAAGTGGACGCTTTAAACACTTTTCGGAATTTTTAGCCGACCATACCAACAGGTATGGTAGGCTATTAAAATCGGCAAAAAAAAGTTTGTTTAATCTCACTCAAAATGAGTTATTTGGATCATAAATGACCTAAATACAAAATATTTTCATGGTGTCTGTCTGTCTGTCCATCTGTAACACGATAACTCAGAAACCGCTAAACCGATTTTAACTAAATTTGGCACAAAAATACTGTGGCACCCGAGAATCTGGCCATTAGTTTTTGGTGGGGGTGGGAGGTTGGTAAGGGGGTATGGGAGTGGGTTAAAATTTTTAAAAAATCGTAACTCCAAAATTACAGTAGCTAGCGAAACGCGGTTTTCAATTTAAGATTAGGAATAATATTTGCAACAAAATTTGTAATATCATCAAAATCAGTCAAAGTTGCAGTTTCTGAGATAATTGATTAACATATTTTAGTATGGGCGGCTATACGTGCCTCCCGGCGCCAATTTTTTCAATGAGAGCGGTTTAGATTTTGAAAGATTTTATAATTTTTGAAGATTCTGACAGGAGATATGGACAAGAGAAAATTATTTCTGTTTTTGTTTGCGGTTGTTCTTAGCAACCGCTATAGCAGCGCCAGATCGCGTACAACGGTCGCGACCCAAAATTTTGACGGGCATTCCAATCTAAATTTATTTCCTTTATCTATGGTCTCTTGTTAAAGTAGTTTAGTAACAATCTATCAAAGAATGAAATAGCTATTTATGTAACTAGTACCTAAAATGATGTTTTTTAGGACGAATCATTACTGTTTGCGGACGAGGCGTTAGCCGAGTCCGAAATAGTAGATGAGTCCTAAAAAACATAATTTAGGTACGTGTTACATACACTATTTTTTGTCATACGCTTTTTACAGTTTTTTAGAACGCATATTTGCAAATTTTCCATATTTGAAATTATAATGTTTGAAAAAGTTGGCTTATAAATTCATATCTTAGTAACGAGTTTGTTTATTTCATCGCATTTTGACATGTCATTCGAAATTTGTCACAAAATCACACAAATTCATCAACAATTTTAAAATGTTCCAAAATCCCGAACATATTGCTAATAAGGCCAAAGAAATCGTGTTGGATTTACTTCCTGTGAAGTCTCGTGCCATTTACCAGAAAGAATATGATGTTTTTAATGAATGGAAAGACAAAAATGGCGTATTCGTTGTAAATGAAGATGTATTGCTAAATTATTTCCACGAAAAAGTAAGTACCTAGGTACCTATTTAAAAGAGGCTTTTAAATTAAAATATTCTTAAATTACAGTCACAAACATTCAAACCATCGTCAATTTGGTCGAAATATTCCATGCTGAGAGCAGTGTTAAGTGTTAAAGAAGATATTTATATTGACAAATTTCCAAAACTTATTGCTTTTTTGAAGAGGAATTCGGTTGGTTACGAGCCTAAAAAGTCTAAGGTTTTGTCCATAAAAGAGATCGGTGATTTTTTGGCCACGGCTAGTGATGAAACTTATTTACTTACTAAGGTAAGTTTGCGATAATGATTTTAAAATATATAGATGGTTTCTTATTCCATTGTATTTGATTTTTAGGTAGCTCTTGTCATTGGCCTTTGTGAGCATGTAGAAGAGAAGAATTGTACTCTCTACGAGTGCAAGACATCATAGAAAAAGACAACAGCTGCCTTTTAGTTACCCTTGCGGATACAAAAACTAATATCAAAAGAGTGTTTCCGGTGGTGAACGAAGGGAACGTTGTCAATCCAGTTGAGTTGTATAGAAAATATGCTTGTCTTAGGCCAAAAAATGTACCACATGATTATGTCTTCATCTCTTATCGTAAAGGAAAATGCACCGTGCAACGAGTCGGCATTCATTCATTTGGGAAGATGCCATCGATTGTAGCAGCATTTTTAAAGTTGTCGAACCCAAACGAATATACAGGTCATTGTTTCCGACGTAGTTCTGCTACTCTTGCTGCAGATGCAGATGTGGATTTTACATCGCTGAAACGCCTAGGAGGTTGGAGGTAAAAATTTTAATATTTTCCGATCTTGTTCTAAACAACAATAATTATTTAGGTCGTCCACAGTGGCCGAAGGTTACATAGAAGAATCTATTGAGAAAAAGAAGAAAGTTTGCAAACTGCTAATGGGGGAAAAGAAAATCGCGACCACTTCCACGGATGTATTACCAAGTACATCATCGTTCGCATTTACTCCACCTCATCAGAAAGTAAATTTACCTGCCAATGGAGGAGTCGTTTCGATTGCAGATGCAAGTTTTCAAAATGCACAAAATTGTTCATTTCATTTTTATTTTTCCAAATAACTTAGCTTTTGATATTGTTAGTATTTAATAATTTAAAAATCAAATACAATGGAATAAGAAACCATCTATATATTTTAAAAATCATTATCGCAAACTTACCTTAGTAAGTAAATAAGTTTCATCACTAGCCGTGGCCAAAAAATCACCGATCTCTTTTATGGACAAAACCTTAGACTTTTTAGGCTCGTAACCAACCGAATTCCTCTTCAAAAAAGCAATAAGTTTTGGAAATTTGTCAATATAAATATCTTCTTTAACACTTAACACTGCTCTCAGCATGGAATATTTCGACCAAATTGACGATGGTTTGAATGTTTGTGACTGTAATTTAAGAATATTTTAATTTAAAAGCCTCTTTTAAATAGGTACCTAGGTACTTACTTTAAACAAATAACTTAGCTTTTGATATTGTTAGTATTTAATAATTTAATTATAAATATATGTATAATTTTATGTGATTTTGTGACAAATTTCGAATGACAAAATAAAACAACCAAATAACGAATTTAGACATTTTAGTCCATAAAGGTTGCCATGACGACCTTTACGGCCTAGGCCGAAAAAGAAACATTTTACGGACTGAAATGAGTCCGTAAAATAGCTGTTTTTGGGAGCGTATGACAAAAACGAAATTATATTACCACGCGCTTCGATTTTTAGGACTTTTAGGAAATTCAACCATAGTTTCATGCTTTTTTAATTTTCTCTAAAATGGTATGGAAATTTGGAAAAGTATAAACGAGACTAAACATTTTAGATTAAGCAAAATTATTTTTGAAAAATGCATTTTCTCAATAATAAAAAAGCTTTTCCTCTTGTAAAGATAATCCGGGGACATACTGTATGTTAATTACAGTTACAGATAAAATTAAGGCGCGTATACGAAAAATCGATTTATGGTTGACTTCACTTAGTAAAATTCATCTTGATTCATATCTGTGATTCTAAATAAGTAAACTTAGGATTTTATAGTTTTTTAGAAGTTTTAGCAGGTTTTGTGAATATCTTATTAAGTTTAATTATAAAATAATTATTACTAAATGATTAAATCAAAGATTACAAAAGTCAATACAATTTATTATTGAATGAGTATATCATGTCCCAGTTCAGTTTTTATAAACTACTAAGTTTTATTATTGTTTACGATAGCAAATAAATTCAGAATATATTGGACATTGTGCCATTGCCACCTTCTTTGGAATGTTATCCTTT